CCTGTTACCATCTTGGTAGCTTTCTTTCATTCAAATAGCTCTGGAGGGTGATAACTCTTAAGGATTTGTTAGTCATTAAAACATTAGTCTTGCCCTAGCCGTTTGGCTCAGTGGATGAAACATCAGCCTGCGGACTGAAGGATCCCAGGTTCGATTCTGGCCAAGGGCACATGCTCGGGTTGCAGGCTCGATCTCCAGTAGGGGCTTGCAGGAGGCAGCCAATCAATGATTCTCTCTCACCATTAATGTTTCTATCTCTCCCTTCATCTCCCTTCCTCTCTGAAATCAGTGTGTGTGTGTGTGTGTGTTTTTAAAAAAAAAAAAACCACATTAGTCTGAATTAACAGATAGGCAAAATAGATACCAAAGGAGGCTCTAGTGCAATGGGATGAGAACAAATATTGATGAGCGATGTGGGGCATGGGCAAGAGGCTGGATGGGCAGGCTCACAGAAGCATTGGGTAAATGGCCAGAACATCTCTTGGAGGCACTAGATGGGAGGAAAGGCAGTCAGTTATACACATTAATGCAGTGTCTACTGTGTGTCAGACATGGTACCAACCAAACACTCTCGGAAATATGCATGTAAATAATGCAGTCAACACTGCCCACATTTGCCCTTGATGCACATAAGCCACAAGGTGATCATGAATTGGGAGACCGAACTCTTCCACACACTCAGACTCTGCAGTTTTCAGAGGCCTCTCCGAGGTGAGCCTCTCATAGTGCTGAAGAGAGCATACTTTTCTTTTTTTTTAATATATTTTTTATTGATTAAGATATTACATATGTGTCCTTATCCCCACGTTACCCCCTACCCCCCCACCCCCCGCTCATGCCCTCACCCCCCCCCCATTGTCCGTGTCCATTGGTTAGGCCTATATGCTTGCATATAAGTCCTTTGGTTGATCTCTCACCCTTACCCCCACCCTCCCCTAACTTCCCTCCAGGTCCCGACAGTCCAATCAATGCCTCTCCGTCTCTGGGTCAGTCCTTGTTCATCAGTTTATGTTGTTCATTATATTCCACAAATGAGTGAGATCATGTGGTATTTATCCTTCTCTGACTGGCTTATTTCACTTAGCATAATGCTCTCCAGTTCCATCCATGCTGTGGCAAATGGTAAGAGTTCCTTTTTCTTCTTCCTCTTCTTAAAGAATACCTTTCAGCATTTCATATAATGCTGGTTTGGTGGTGATGAACTCCTTTAGCTTTTTCTTATCTGTGAAGCTCTTTATCTGACCTTCAGTTCTGAATGATAGCTTTGCTGGATAAAGTAATCTTGGTTGTAGGTTCTTGCTATTCATCACTTTGAATATTTCTTGCCACACCCTTCTGGCCTGCATGGTTTCTGTTGAGAAATCAGCTGACATTCGTATGGGTACTCCCTTGTGGGTAACTGACTTTCTTTCTCTTGCTGCTTTTAAGATTCTCTCTTTGTCTTTTGCTCTTGGCATTTTAATTATGATGTGTCTCGGTGTGGTCCTCTTTGGATTCCTTTTGTTTGGAGTTCTCTGCGCTTCCTGGACTTGTAAGTCTATTTCTTTCACCAGGTAGGGGAAGTTTTCTGTCATTATTTCTTCAAATAGGTTTTCAATATCTTGCCCTCTCTCTTCTTCTGGCACCCCTATAATTCTGATGTTGGTACGCTTGAAGTTGTCCCAGAGGCTCCTTATACTATCTTCATATTTTTGGATTCTTTTTTCTTTTTGCTTCTTCTGTTGGGTATTTTTTGTTTCTTCATATTTCAAATCTTTGACTTGATTCTTGGGATCCTCTTGTCTGTTGTTGGATCTCTGTATATTATTCTTTATTTCAGTCAGTGTATGCTTAATTTCTAGTTGGTCTTTTTTCATATCCTCCAAGGGTCTCACTAAATTTATCGGCGGTTTCCATAAAATTCTTGAAATACCTTATAAATGTGGTTTTGAACTCTATATCCAGTCATTTGCTTTCCTCCATTTCTGTCATTTGTGACCTGTTTCTTTGTCTCCGCATTTTTTATGCTTCCCTGTGTTGGTAGAGTGGTTTTGTGTGCTAGGTGTCCTGTAGGGCCCAGTGGCTCAGCCTCCCCAGTTACCTGAGGTGGACACTCTTGGTGCACCCCCTTGTGGTCTTTGTGTACAGTCTTGTTGTGGTTAAGCCTTGATTGTTGTAGGTATTGACCTCCAGGCCAATTGGCTGTGAGAATCAGCTGTGTCTGCAATGGGAGAACTTCTGTACTGAAGACACCCTTCTGGGGCAAGACTTGCTTCAGTGGGACTTTGGTGCTCACTGAGTCTGCCCCCTGAGTGTGTCCCTTATGGATCTGAGGAGTTGTAATCTGGATGGTCCCACTCTGACCACTGGGTACACTGGCTCTTGGATCTAAGGAGGTGCTAATTTAGTCTCTGCCTGAGGTTACCCAGCAGGAGTTACAAAAAGATCTGCAGATTCCCCTTCCTTTTTTGGAGTTTGGAGGTGCCCAGATGAGGCCCAGCTGTGAAGCAGTGCAAGCTGCTATGGGGCCTTGGGCCTTCACTTGGAAGTTCTGGGTCTGTCTGGCCCAGCTGTAATTTGTTAGGTAATTTTCAGGTTGCAAAGGGCCAGGGCATTCATATGCAAAAGCCTCTGCCACAGCCTGGGTGGGCAGGGTCTCAAGGAATCAACAGGGCGGAGCAAGCACCTATGGCAGAGCCTCAGCCCTGCCCTAAGGGGCTGCGCGTCTCAGTGTCCTGGTAATTTAATTGCTGCAAGCACCTCTGAGAGAAAGCCACCCTGGAGTTCCGAGTTCTGCCCGCTGCCAGACAGTCCAGTTTCTCCCCGTATGAGTCCTGGGTCCCCAGAGACTTCCCAGAACTGGAGTTCAGAGCAGTCGGGAGCTTGTGACTCCCTCCCGATTCACAAAGACAGCCGCGTCCTCAGGTGCCAGCCCCTTTTCGTGTGCTCGAGCCTCCGTACCTTTGCACTTTACTTCCGCAGCTCCTGACTCTCAGCGTGCTGTTCTCTTTCCTTCTAGTTGTAGAATTTCCACTCAGCCAGCCTTCCTGTAGTTCTGGATGATGTTCCGTTTTGTCTTTTTGTTGTATTTTTGAAAATGTTGTAGGAGGCAGCAATTTCGGTGTTTACCTATGCCGCCATCTTGGTTTCTCCGGAGAGCATCCTTTTCACACAGCATAACTTTCGATTGCAAGCCAGTGGGTGCTCAATCTCAGGCTCAATGGTCTCTTCCAAGGCTGGAGGCAAAACTGGTTGGGCTGAATATTTGCAAAGAAGTATATTGGTTTCCAATACAGCACTTTCCTGAGGGACTTTCAAGGGTCATTTTAACTATAGGAGATGTTTGTGGTTGTTAACTTTGGAGCCCAATCCTTAGGCTCTGATACGCAGAATTCAGGAGTCCATGATCCCTGACAAATAGCAGGCAATACACCCAACCACTGTCCATGAAACTCATCGGCATTTATAACTAACTGGTCAGTCCTCCTGAGCCAGGAGACAGCCCCACACAGTGGCCCCCAGCATTGTGCACACCTTGAGTTCCCTGGCTCTTCCTTCCTGACAGTATCAGCACGCCCCTGCCCTCCTCCTTCCTGAGTAGTTGAGCCTTGCTCCCGTGTGGAACGCACGGATGTGGAGAACATAAGGATTTGGCAGCATTTGAGCTTCAATGGGAAGTCGGTGGAGGCCCAAGGATTATCCCACTCACCTCAGCTCCACCCTCCACAAGGTTGCAGGTGTGATTCTCCTAAGACACAAGTTTGCCCTTACACTACCACTGCTTCAGGTTAAGCCCCCATGCATTAGTCTGGAATCTTAATGGTAGCAGAAATAATAATTATTATTATGATGATAAAGTTATAGCTAACATGGAGTGAGCATTCACCTTGTGGTGAGCATGCTGCTGCAAGCTCTAATGCAGTTTCTTATTCAGTCCTCACAACACCCCAGGCAGGGAGATAGTAGAAAAGGAGGTGGAACATCAGAAAGGTTAAGTGACTTGTGCACAGTAACAAGACTACAAGTCATTCTGCCAGGCATCAAATTCTGACTTCAGAACTCAACCACTATAGCATTCGGCCTAAACAAATTATTGTATAAAAAGGAAAAAACAAACAAGTGTGGTGAGTACAAAGTGGCTTACACTCCTCATGGGACCAGGACCTAGACCTTCCCCTCACGGCCCTGATCACACGGTATCACAGCTGTCTGACCACTTGTTGGTCCTGTGCTCCTCCAGGTCGGGGGTGGTGCTGATTCTCCTTTACATCACCAGCACCTGCAGGGGGTCTTCTCATCTTGTCCTTGTGCAGTCAGTGGCTGACAGGTTAATGGATGGATGAGTATGTGAATGAATCCATGGATCCCAATAAACCCTGGCCTTCTCCAGGAACCTTGCCTGCTTATGAAAGCCCCCAGGGCCACCCCATTTTCCTGAATTCCTCCAGCACTTCTTCCTTGTATGATAGTTTATTGCACTCTGGCTTACCACATGCAACACTTCTCTGTGTAAGTTCCTGATGCCTCCCCGAGCGGACCATAAGCATTCCCCAAGTCACCTAGCTCAAGGCTGGGCCAGACCTCTGAATAAGTGCACTGAGTACAGCTGAGCCTTGAACAATGTGGGGGCTGGGGGTGCTGACCCCCAATGCACTCAAAAATTCATGTATAACTTTTGACTTTCCAAAAACTTAACTTAATAGGCCATTGCTGACAGCAGCTTTACAAATAACATACATAGTTGATTAATATCTTTTTAAATATTATATGTATTAATATTTTGTTCTTACAATAAAGAAAGCTAGCAAAAAGAAAATGTGTTTAAGAAAATCATAAGGGAGAGAAGATACATTTGCAGGATTTATTGAAAAAAATCCACATATAATTGGACCCACACAGTTCAAATCATTGTTGCTCAAGGATTATCTATAGCTTATGCTGACCTAGGAGCAGAAAACAGAAGGCAAGGCCACCCACTCCGGCAGGAATGACCCTTTGTCCTTTTGTCCCCGCCCCTGCAGGAGCCTCCTCTGGCATCATCGACCTCCTGCCGTCCCCCAGCGCTGCCTCGAACTGGACTGCGGGACTGCTGGTGGACAGCAGCGAGATGATCTTCAAGTTTGATGGCAGGCAGGGTGCCAAGGTCCCTGACGGGATTGTGCCCAAGAACTTGACGGACCAGTTCACCATCACCATGTGGATGAAACACGGTCCCAGCCCTGGCGTGAGAGCCGAGAAGGAAACCATCCTCTGCAACTCAGACAAGACTGGTGAGTCTCGCCCGGCCCTTCGGTGCTGCCTGTGGTGTCCCAGCAGGTTAGGCAGAGACACAGCCACTGAAGATGTGGGAGAAAGGCAGGGGCGAGAGAGGAGCCCTGGGAAAGGCTTCTGGTCTCTCTGTTTGCTGATTCCTGGGCTCAGGGTAGAGTAGCACCAGGAAAAGGGGGAAAGAAGGCAAAAGCTGGCTCTGGGGTTGGTGGTTTCAACTTCAGAGGCCCAGCCTCCCAGAAGCAGCTTGGGGCTGCTAGACACGAGATGGGTGGGGTGCACCCTTACTTCAAGTAAAGCAGCGCCATCTTCATTGTATTATATACAGGGGTGGGCAAAGGAGGTTTCCAGTTGTGAGTACAATAAAGCTGTTGTAATAATCATAACCTGCGTGTCTTTTTCCATGAGAGCAACTGTAAACCTTTTTTTGCCCACCCCTGTATAGTAAGACTTCCAAACGTTTATTTTCAATAATAGGGCCCTGACAGATTAAATGAGTATTTTTAATGTCCGTGACATACATAATAATGGTGGCTAACCTGTGTTGGGCATTTTCAGCATGCCGCTGTGCAAGGCAGTGCACAGCTTGGCGGTTAAAAACTCTCTACCGCTTATTGGCTGCATGATCTTTGACAAGTTATCTAACCCCTCTGTGCCTACTTTCCTGTCTACAAAATGGGCATTAGAATATTATCTACCTTGCAGGTTTGGTGAGGATTTTGTGACTTAGTGTATGTATAGTGCTTTAGAAAGGGCCTGGCATACAGGAGTGCAATCTGTGTTAGCTGTTACTCTCCTCGCCGGTGTCTCACATCTCCACAAACAAGTTTATTAAAGCATTGCGGTGTTTCCCATTTTTAAGGATCAGGAAACATCCCTGGTAGGTTCAGTAACCTGTCCCAAGTTATACAGCCAGTAAGTATCAGAAGTAGAATGTAAGCTTAGAGTCAGCTAATTCTAATCCTGTGCTCTTGTCAGTACGCCCCACATGCGCGTGTGCGTGTACACACACACACACACACACACACACTCTGACATCTATGCAAAGTTTACAACTCCATCTTAAACTATAATTTCACAATTTCCCATTTCAAATACTGCTCTCGTTAAGTTACCCCAAACACATAACCACAGCCACGGGAAGACAGTACAGAAGGATGGCCGGCAGCTCAGCCATAGGAGACTGCTGATGAACAGCCAGAGTTCGTAGGGTGTGACCTTGGAGAAGCTGCTACGCTCTCTGGGCCTGTTTCCCCTGGTCACCTGCTCACTCGCCCCTCATTTGTGGAGCATGTGCCGTGTGGAATATTTCTGTGTGGGCTACTCTATCATAACTGTGAGGTCAAAAGACTCCTCCTCCCATGCAGCGGGTGTTATCTGGTGGCTACAGGGCATCATGGCTGGGACCCATGGCATGAAACTTTCTAAGCAGGAAAGGAAGTTTCTTATCAGAAAAGGGAAAAGTCCCACCCGTTGTCTGTGCATGGAGGAGAGGGGGCTGGAAAGTCACAGGACTCTGTGTGATGTTGGAAAATCAATGTGCCCCCCCCCCCCGCCCGCCAGCAACTAAAAGTGAGACAGCACCCGCTCCCCGCACAGAGATCAGAGAAGGAGATGTGCCTGGCGGTCCCCCTGTCAAGCCTGCTGAAATAAAAGCCCGGAACTGAGGAGAAACCAGCTAGGTTAAAGGATCCCAGAGTGAATGATGGGATTGTCAGAGGGCTCCCTCACTCTCTCAGAAGTATATGTACCAAAAACAAGTGAATAAAACCTGCTGACCTAAGGAATTTTTATGGGGTCTGATGCAGTATCTGAGCTTAGGGTAGGTTGATCTCTAAAGCCCAAATGACACCTCAGGAGTTTCACTGTGGGCTTTCTTGAATCTTCCTCTTGCATTTCAATGAGCTCCACCACGTATGTTCTAGAACATTCCTCAGAACCAATTGTAAAAGAGAGACTGGAATGTCAGTGTCCTTGGAGGTGTGCTAGGTGATATGGCCAAAAGACTCCTCTGCTGAGACTGACACTGACACAAGGACCCTCTCCCCCCCCAACCCTCGCTCTGTCTGCAGAAATGAACCGGCACCACTACGCCCTGTACGTGCACAACTGCCGCCTGGTCTTCCTCCTGCGGAAGGACTTCGACCAGGCCGACACCTTCCGCCCGGCCGAGTTCCACTGGAAGCTGGACCAGGTATGGCTCGCACCTGGCCCGTCGCCCCTGCTCATCCCTTTGCAGGGGGTGGGCGGTGTGCTCCAGTGAGGATGGCAGTGGGTAAGCACCTCCGGGTTCTGGTCACTTGCTGATACTTGGAAGAATTAGCTCAGGGAGACAAAGAGCATCGTAAAGTCCGGATGGAAACTGCCACTTTAAAGACCAGGCAGAAGTGGGGAGGCTCAGCTAACCTGCGTCTTGTCCTTTGGTCTGCATTGAGCTCCTGGGAAGCTGGTTCTCTTTCCCTTCATCCGAGGCTCACTTTGTGATCGTTGTTAGCGCATCTGTGTGTCGTAAATGCTCTGTTATCTCCCTTGGATGAGGTGCGGCCTTGCTTTAGGTGGCACAGGTTGAGAGCAGGGGCCTGAGGACTTTGAAGTGAGCAGTGACATGGCGCACTGTGAGCAATGCGTGCACTCTGAGCAACACGTGCTCTCGTCTGAAGTGGAAAACTGTGACTCACTTCAGAGCCTAATGGCTTGTGATCACAAGGACCACTGTGTCACACTTGTCAATGACAAATGAAGTGTCTCGTTTGAATCAAAAGCTGTGAAGTGTCTGTTTCCGACACTTGCAGCACTGAGATTGCGGGGGTGGCACTCACTTCTCTGGGTGGCCGTGCCCCTGAAGAGGCGACTGTGCAGCAAGCCTGGAGCTGGCCTTCAGTGGGATCTGCAGAGTGACTTTTTAAAAACGGTTTTAAATGACCAAGAGGGAGAGTGGCCAGCAGACAGGGAAGGGGAGTGCAGAATGGGTCTGCTTAGTGAAGCAGGTGGAAGGATGCCCCTTCTATGGCCTTACTGCCTAGGGCAGTGATGGCAAACCTTTTGAGCTCGGCGTGTCAGCATTTTGAAAAACCCTAACTTAACTCTGGTGCCGTGTCACATATAGAAATTTTTTGATATTTGCAACCATAGTAAAACAAAGACTTATATTTTTGATATTTATTTTATATATTTAAATGCGATTTAACAAAGAAAAATCAACCAAAAAAATGAGTTCGCGTGTCACCTCTGACACGTGTGTCATAGGTTCGCCATCACTGGCCTAGGGCCTCGGCAACTCCTTTTGCTTCCTTTTCTGCCCCACCCATATCCTGAGTGCCTCTGGGGACCTCAGTCTTCTTTTCTCCCTCCAAAACCACTGTGTGTTCCTGCCTCACCTTGTCTAGGGCTGAATGTTCCATAATCCTTTCCCTTCTCTCTCCTTATTACCGCATCTTCCCCACCCTCTCCTGGTACTACCTAAGCTCCCAGACCCCCAGTGGAGCTGACCTCAGAGAGAGTTCCTGGGCAGCGTTCCAGGAGGAATCCATTTACACTGAGATGAGAATGACGGCTGCCCCCTGGTACCCACACGGAAGCACAGGCCTACACGCTTTCATAGAGAGATTCATTAACTCCAGGCAGCCTCTCCGTCGTGGAACATCAGACAGTGTGCTAAGGTCGGGGAGGCCAAGCTTAGGGAAAGATGTCTGAGGGAGCCCAGGGCAACTGACTAATCCACTCCTAATCAATCCCATTTTGCTGGATCCTGGGGGTTTGGAAATATGGCATCCGATTACTGTATGTTTCTCTGAACTAGGAATTCTAGGTCTTGCCAAAGTGATGAAATCTTGACATTGTTTATTTGATTTTCCAGCCACCTCTCAGCTACCTTCTAAAGTGCCGTATGGCTTATATGAGATGTTTGTAAATACACAATATGAATTGAGATGAATGAAAATAAATTCCATATTGTGAGGGCTTTTAATAAGAACACTGATCTAGTTAGTGTCTGGGACATTTGTAGTTGCCCTGCAGCCTTTTCTCTGATGGGATTGAGTGATACAGGCAAATGAAGTCACAGGGTTTGAAAATAAAACTGAGTGAGGAAGGAGTTCTGGTTCTACAGATAAAGATATGGTGAATCTAGAAATTCTGGAATGTGTTCCCAAAGTGGTGAGTTAAAGGGGGGGCCCACTGAGCATCCTGCCAGGTACGCTGTGTGTGTGAGCTCATCTGGTCTCTGCCACCATCCTGCCCAGTCCTACCCAAGGTCAGTACCTGCCCAAGGTCACGCAGCACACCATGGGGAGGACCTGCCTTTTCCATGATGCTTTGCTGCTGCTGCTTTGGTGAGCTTGCTAATTTAAAATTTTAAATGTTTTCCATTTTTAAAATTTATCGTTATTGTTGAAAGTATTACTGATATCTCCCTTTTCCCCCTATTGACCCTCTCCACGCCACACCCTCCCAGACCCGCCACACCCTCCCAGACCCTATTGTCTATGTCCATGGGTTATGCATATATGCCTGTAAGTTCTTTGGTTCATCTCACTCCCCTTCCCTCTGAGATTCATTCGTCTGTTCCATGCTTCTATATCTCTGGATCTATTTTGCTCATCAGTTTATTTTGTTCATTAGTTTCCATATCTGAGTGCTATCATGTGATGCTTGTCTTTCTCTGACTGGCTTATCTTGCTTAGCATAATACTCTCCAGGTCCCTCCATGCTGTCTCAAAGGGTAAGAGATCCATCTTTTTTACAGCTGCATAGTGTTCTATGGTGTAAATGTACCACAGCTCTTTGATGGGCACTTGGACTGTTTCCAGATCTTAGCTATTGTAAATAGCGCTTGTATGAACACAGGGTGCATATATGCTTAGGATATATTCCTAGAAGCGGGATCACTGGATCAGATGACAGTTCCATTTTTAATTTTTTGAGGAAACTCCATACTCTTTTCCTTAATGGCTGCACCAGTCTGCGTTCCCACCAGCAGTGTACTAGGATTCCCTTTTCTCCACATCCTCGCCAACACTTGTCGTTTGTTGATGATAGCCATTCTGGCAGGTGTGAGGTGATACCTCATTGTTGTTTTAAATGCTCCAAGTCACTAATCATCAGAGAGATGCACATTAAAGTGTTTTAATTTTTAAATTTAAAGTATTTTAATTTAGAGATCAGAATTATCACTGAAATGCAAAATGTTTACAGACTTAATGAAACTGTATGAAACTGTCCAATCTTCACGTTGCTCACTCTTGGTCTCCTTTGTCTTAATCAGCTAGGGCTGCCATAACAAAATGCCATGGACTGGGTGGCTTTCACAATAGACATTCATTTCTCACAGTTCCAGAGGCTGGGAGGTCCATGATCAAGGTGCTGGCCAGTTCTGTTCCCAGGGAGGGCTCTCTTTCTGACTTGCAGCAGTTGCCTTCTTGCTGTGTCCCCACCTGGTAGAGAAAGAGAGCTCAGGGACCTTTTCCTCTTCTCAGAAGGCACCAGCCCCATGGGTTTGGGCCCCTACCCTATGACCTCATTTAACCTTCACTGCCTCCTAAAGGCCCTGACTCCAAATGCAGCCTGGAGATAAAGGGCTTGGAAAAGTCCCGAGGAGGGGCAGCATCTGAAGGGAGTGTGGAGGGCTCAGTGGAGCCAGGCAGCCAGGAGGGTGGAAAGCTGAGCAGGAAGGAGGGCCATCTGCAGGGAACTGGCAGCTTCTGGTGTGGCAGGGCTGAGGAATGGGGCAGAAACAGAAAACCTTGGCAGTTAGGACCCAAGTTTGGAGGAGCAGGTGGAATTCGATCCCAAGAGGCCATTTATATCATGCTGTTGAGTTGGTACTGTATCCCCAAAAGAATTGGCCACAAAGTGAGGCATTTTGCTCTATAAAGAAGACTGAGAATTTCCGGGATGGGTAAATGTGAAGAAGGCTATATGAAATTCATAAAATGTATCAAGTGTAAGCCAGTATAACTCAGGCCAAGTCATTCAATGGGACCAGGGGTGGGAGTTGCATTAGAAGCAGGGCCTCCCCTTCCTCTCTCCACAGCCGGGCAGGGACAGCAAGCACTTGACAGATGCTGTTGTGGGCATTGAAACCAGAGCATGCAAAGCAGGAAGGCTTCCATATAGCTCTTCAGGAGGCGCCCACAGAGAGAGGCAGGTGCCCCAGAGGAGCTGTGCTCTTCCCGCAGCCCAGCCCTTAGCCCAGGGGTGGGCAAACTTTTTGACTCGAGGGCCACAATGGGTTCTTAAACTGGACCAGAGGGCCGGAACAAAAGCATGGATGGAGTGTTTGTGTGAACTAATATAAATTCAAAGTAAACATCATTACATAAAAGGGTACGGTCTTTTTTTTTCAATAGTTTTATTCATTTCAAACGGGCCGGATTCGGCCCGTGGGCCGTAGTTTGCCCACGGCTGCCTTAGCCCCACGCCCCAGAGGGCCTTTGCCAGGGTGGACAGACTGCCAGGCCAATCCATCAGCAGGCAACTCCAGGAAATGCCCCTGAAAACCCCATGCACCTCAGTAAAGGGATCCTAATGATGAGGAGAATGTCATTTTAATGGGATTTTTACTTATGATATGCTAACACAAATCCCTGGAGCCAGCTGTTAATCATGGGCAGACCCAGACTAGAGCAGAGGAGGATGCCCGGCTGCCAGCTCACACAGGAGAGGGTTAGTCATGGCAGCCCCTTCCAGCTTCAGTATTATTTAGATACAGTTGACTCGGTGTCACGAATTCTAATGATCTTCCCTTTGGACGTGTTGGTGCTCAGAGGGAAACCTGCTGGTGTTTTACGGCGTGTCTCAGTGTCTCAGTTCCTGGGAGGCCCAGCTTGAGTGACAGCCTCAGTTGACCAGCGCAAGGACAGGTGCCCCCAGCTCCTAGGAGGAAAAAATAGGCATCTCTGAAAAATTCCACAGGATGCAGAAGTGGGCTCACTCTGGTGGCCCATTGCCTTCTCTGCGCCAGCACTTGTGACAGGCACCAGGGAGAGGGAAGTCAGATGTGACCCTGCCCTGGGGCTGCGCACAGCCCTCCCTGCCCAGGTTATGGGCCCAGTAGAACATCCTGTGGGAGCATCAGCTCTAGTGATCATGGCAGGGAGAAGCAACACAGGGAGTGAAGAGGCCTCACTGGGTGGAGGCTGGTCCCCACTGGAGATGAAGCCAGCACACAGCTCCAGGCTACCCGAATCCAGGCCT